GTTTCTCACATATTTTTTTCTGATTTTTAATTCTTCTCTTTTATCTTTTTCTCAATTTTAATATATACCTATAAATATCCACTCAATAATGGGTAGGTTATAAGGCTGTACTTCAAGACTCTATAATAATTTATTAAAGTGTATTTTATATAGTGATTTGGCTGTCAAGATAGCATGATTATAGCAATGACTTACATGCACATGGCAGGTCATTGCTGTGCCTCTACATCGGCTCTACGGGGAACATGATATGCACACCTACATGCCAATTTCAATCTTGATAATATATCTACTACAACTCATAAGACTTAGGGCGTGCCAAAAGGGTTAGTCATTTTAAGGCTTGTTTAACTTGCCTGGGAATTAACTGTTAGCCAGAGTGTTCAGAAAGAAAGCATGTTTAAATAATTTTTAGTTAGGCATTATAATTTTTACACTTAGAGTAGTTAACATATGACAGTATCATACATAGTACGTTTATTTTATGCGTTTATGGCTTGTTTCTGAATTGTAAATTCTTTAAAAGCGGAGAACACTTCCAGTCCCGCTTATCTGCCTCCCACCTTGTACAAATTCCACTAAACAATGCTGTACTTGAATGGAAAACTGATCTACGTGTGTCAACAAGATTCACTTGAGAGTTTGCTGCAGCTGTTTAACATCTCAATGCAACAACCAGATTTTACTTGGAAGTGGTGATGCTTAGAAAGATCAGGTCGTGTCCTTTTAAAATGATTTAGATAGCTTTGTATGACAAATCTCTTACTCCAGTTCTATTTTCTTCTCTAACTTCCTTCTCCCCTCCATGCTCTACTTTCTTTTCTGTTTATCCCTCATATTTCTTTCTTTCTTCATACATACTCTGTTTGTCCTTTGTACACCTCACTAATTGTGGAGGGGAAAGAGGCCCACCATTTTCTTTTTTATTATGCTAGGAAAAACAAGCATAGGCCTATACTGTAAAGACCCAGTGGATTCATTTTCGGGGGGGGGGGGGTCTGATCAAAAGGAAAACAGACTTAAAATGTAAAAATTAGATGAAAAGAGGATATATAGGTCAGTTTGATTACTTGTTATTCTTAATTATGTGTAAGTAAAAAATATGTAACTTTAGGTGGACGTAAGAAACTAATGTGTCTGAGAACTTATATAACACTATTTTTTTCACTGAATATTCTACTGGGAAGGAAAACATCTAGAATATTCCCAATTTTGGGGGAGTTTGTTTTAATATTTCTGCATGTATTCCTCTATAAAAATATTTCAAAATGTAAATTTTACTGATTCCATTTACTAAAAATCAATCAAGCTATCATTTGCTAATAAATGCTTTATTCTATATTTTCCAAATCCTTTTCAAGACTGCTACATTATCTATAGATGCTTCTTTTTAAACATAAGGTGTGTGCCTCTAAAAGCCCCTCTAGATATCAAAATTATGGTTGCCAGGACCTGAGAGCCCAGTAGTTGAGATTCTCTAGTTGCCAATGGAAACTTCCTACCTAAATAACTTGAATGTGTAATCTGAAAAAGAAAAAAGAAAAACCTGCTTATCTATTATAAGTAAACACACTCCCTTTGTTACATGGTATGCAATTAGATGCATTTGAAATAAAAGGTAAGTTAAATCTGAAGTCTCTGAGGCAACAATGTACTATTTTAAAGCCCAGAGTGTCAAATGTTGTTTTTCAACTCACTACCAAAGGGTATTTCACAGGTAATTTCTGAGGGCTGATGTGGGCTAATTATTAGCTACCATACCCTGCCTCCCATTCTAAGTGACTATCTACTGGCAGAAAGACACAGCTAGAAGTGTTTTGTTTCATTTGTCCTTGAAGTTTTTATCAGCATCAAGAAGGTGGACTGAGCCAAAGTTAGAAGAATTCTAGAGCTAAGCAAAAAGCGACACATTTAACAGCCCCCATTAATTGGGGGCCGTTACATGATTAATTTGAGAAAAACAGAAGAGACCGATTTCTTTACAACTCACAGTTGGATGCAGCACACTAAAAGTAATCCTGTAAACTACATTTTAAATCTTCAACATATTCTGAGCAGATAAAATAGTGGCATGATTGACCAAACTCCTTTTAAAAGTACACATATTACGATGCATCATAGTTATAAACAGATGGTATTTGGCCTCCTTCCTATTCTCAACATTTGGAATTTCTAAACTATGTGAATTAAACAATAATATTTTATAAACATACAAGGGATTTTGCTCACTGCTTTGTTAACATAGAAATTATACAATGCTGACATTTATTTAAATTTTAAAAAGTAAACAACAGTGTGCATTGAAATAAAGCAAACTAAAATCAACATGGAGAAGTATGTTCTGTGTGCCTATTACCTACAATGGCACTGGCCTTTTTAAGGGAACACATAATGGGTTGAGGGACAAATTGTAGCCTAGACGGTCCTAATCTTTTGTACTCCAAAGGCTCATTTAACACCTCTCTGTAAACAACGGATATTTATACCATAATTGGCTATTTGACCATCAGTGTTGGTTTACTATGTAACCTGCTATTATGGAGTTAAAAGAAGTTCCCCTCCATTGGCTCAGCAGCTTTCATACTAGTGAAAGTGTCCTCACAGTTTTAAAAACACTTACACACGCAGGAATCAGTCTGACACTTGTACTCAGAATGAGAAACATTATCACGATATCAATAAGTACGTATTTTTTTCTTTGGGGAATATTATTGCCAGAAAGAAAAGGAAATGTATCAGATCTTAATGTCATTTCCTGAGATTCTTTTCTAAAATTAACGCCTTAACCCTTGAGCCACAGTTTGGAAGGAAAACTCATCTGCTGAGTTGATGTACAAAATACAAGGCACTTGGTTTCCAAACACTAGTCTCAGATTTGCAAAGTTGTGTGGTGATGAATAAATAATAAATCAGATATTTCAATCTGTTTTATGATTTTTGAAAGCCCTGCTTATCATTGTTTACCATTTCTCCCAAGTACACTTCTCCTGTATTGTTGCTCAGCTTTCCAGGCGCAGGCTGATACAGGCCACCCTGTCCCAATCTGCCTTTATCCTGGGACTGCTCTTCTCCTATTTTAGCAAACACAATCATCCATATCTGTAAACCTATAGGTTGGGGTATAATTGAATTCTAAGGAGGAAGATCTTAAGCAGCAGAAGTCAGGGAGGGTCACCAACAATGTAAACTAACGTATCTTGCATTTGGTCTCGGGTGTGCACTTTTGCGTGTAAGGTCCACTAGTGTACAAGAGGGAAGATTATGCCACAGCTTACACAGATAGAAAGCCAAGAAGCAGTCTTGAAATCACGAACAAAGGGTATTTTTCTCCTACACATACAGTTCTCAATGTGCACATCCAAATACATCTTTAATGATAAATAACAATATTTGTGTGGGGGAGACTTCAAAACAACCAGAAGTTTCAAAATAGTAAACATTTTCCTGTTTTCCAAAAATTTAGAGCAAATGTGTGACAAATTAATGTAATGCCTTTAAATAGTCTACTGTCAAATCCCATTTAAGTACTCTTCCGCACTCCTAAAATAACCAACTAATGGATACGAGAGACAAAGTTTGTAATTCAAAATACAGGCACGAAGTGGGACAGGGAAGCACCCGGCCATCACACTACTCAGTACACCAGAGAGCCAGGGAGTAGGGTTTAGGTTTATAGTCACACTCTGCCTATAGTGTCCCAGTGTCCATCTCCTGTTTTCTCCTGGGGCTTGCTTAAATTAAAAAAAAAAAAAAAAGGTGTCGAGGGGAGGGTGTATACATCAGTATTTCTGGTTTTGCTTGGCCCATCTTCCTCCCGTGCATTCACCGAGGACCGAAATCAATGAAACAGACGCGGAGGGAGGGTTCTGCCCCGCGGCCGTGCTCCTGCTCCGGGACCCGGTCGGTGGGAGCCCGGGCGCAGGGGGCTCCCTGCCCGGCGCACGTCGCCGGGGCGCTCGGCCCCAGTGTCGGGGCGCGCGTGTCGAGCGTGAGCGCCGCCGAGACCCCGCTCCGCGCCGCCTGTTTTTGGCTCTGCGCTGTCGCGGCGCAGGACCGGCGAGCAAGGTTCGCCGCGAGTGAGGACCTGCACGTCCCTGCGCTCGGCTCCTCGCGCGGCAGAGGTGCGTGACTGCCCGCGTCTCTTAAGCAGGACCGAGCCAGGCGTCGAGGGCGGTGACGTCGTCGGCCGAGCGTGGCTGCCGCCCAGAGCCCGGCTGGGCAGGAGCGCGCGGCCACAGAGGTCCCCGGCCATCCCGGGCCAGGCTCCGGCCCGACCCCCCAGCGTGCGGTGAGGCAGCCCGGAACTCTCGGGTTGGCTCCTCCTGCTCCGGGCAGTGTGGGCTCAGCTGCTCCGACGCTGGGCACACGCTGCCGAGGGGCTCGCGGCCAGCAAGCCGGGGGTGCCTGGTGCGCGCTCCCGGCGGCGAACTCCCGGGCCTGGACAGCGATCCCGCCAGTCCAGGGCCAGCGGCACGCGACCGAAGCGGAAGACCCGAGGAAATGGGGGGAAGGAGAAGAGACATAGCAAGCCCCAGACAAGGGATCCTTAATTACAGATTAAAGGCAACAGAACCGAACACCACATTTTCCATGTGTCAGCTGACGGCCACGACAAAAGGAAGCAGAACGCTGAGGGTGTGTTGGGTGAGGAGGCCCTTCACCCCACTCTCCGTGCAAATGTAAAATGCTTTTGGTAGTGACTTTGGGTAGGTGGTGCCCGGGGCCAAATCACAGCTGCGAGGGCGCCTTGGTGTAGGAGGACAGTTTGCTGATGCACCCAGAGGTCCGGAGAACCTCTCACAAAAGAGACTATAAATACTCTGCTCCAGCACATTTCGCTTCTTTAAAACTGCATTACTCATACAATTTTTAAGTTTTAAATTTGGTGTTTAAATAAGTGTTGCAATTTATTATCTTTAGTAAAATACAAACACACACACACACACACACACACACACACACACACACACACACACTTTGTTTTGCAATTACGCACACACTTTGTTTTGCAATTTTGCAGATTCCATTTTATTGGCCTGGAATCACAGCATTAGAAATGGGGCGTGGGGGAGAAGCCAAACCAAGTGAAAGCCAGGGAACATAGCTGCAAGAATCAGACAGTCCAAATCCCCCTCCATGACTCCGCGACTCAAACGAAAACGGAGAGATGTCTGCTTTGATTTCTTTCCTTTTAATTAATTAGGATCTCAAAATGATTTCTACCTCATCCTGGGATTTAAGGCACAGGATTCACACCAAGATGTCCTGAATTCTGCATGAAAAGTGGAGAAGTGTGCAGAATCCCCAAAGGCCACCAGCTGACAATTACAAACCTCTAATTCCATGCCGAACTACCAACGTTAAAATCAGAGAGCCGACCTGAGTGCCACACACAGGAGCACCCTTACACAATTTTTCCCTCTGGTTGCAGGGTCAGCTTTAGAAAAAGAAGTGTTTGTCTCTTTGTTAGCAATCTGTTTACTTTCACAGACAACCATGAACCGGGTTGAAGGTAACAAGGCCCTCCCACTCAGTCACTTTACCAGTCTTTGCAAGAGAGGTTGTCTTTCCATTTTTTATTTGTAGTGCCCCCCCTCCCACCAATGTCATTTTCCTTGCAGCACTTTGGGAAAAATTTTTTTCCAAGTGCTTTTTCATGTGGTTCCAGTTAAGTGATTTGCCCACACCCCAAATAATACTACTTGCCTTCAAGATTAATAACTGCATATCAATAATTCTTAAATACCTTAAGATCCATATTTTCAATTTAAATGATCCTAATTTTGGCCTAATGCCTGAACCAATGTATATGTGCACTGGTTGCCAACCAGATGACAGTCCCAGGGCACCCTCAATAGGAACACCATGAAGTTTCCTCCATGGTTGAAGGCAGAAAGCCTTTCTTCTTTCTGACCTTTCCAGGAAGTAGATGAACAGATCCACAAAATGATGTAAATTACACAAGTTTTCAATCCTCTCCCCTCTTATGATACATATTTAGGAAACCTTAAAAAAATTTCCTTTTAGGCATCGAGCCCTTCTATGATTTAGCCACTTTCTCTCCACTTTTTGGCTTTATCCTTCAGTAACATAAATAATGTAAAAGAGCAAATTAGGAATTTTTCTTATAGCTTGCCTGTGTTTGAGAGGATCATCCTGTTTCAGTTGATTTAGGCCAGTTGTTGTTAGTTTGTGTTTTTACCACCCACCGAAGAGCAGCACAGAGTTTAGTTTATATTAATAAATGATGTTCATGACTAGGCGTCTAAATGCCAGAGTTATGATTTATTTTTTTAAATGGGCAGAGAAAGAAGAATGGCAATAAAATGAGCTCCTAAATCATTCAAAGTCTTTGGCTTCACACATGTATGTGGGACTTCTGGAGTCTGCTTAGTTTTTGAATATACCTCTTATTTCTCCTTATTCTCATTGACTAAACATTTGACTACCTTTTTCATAGTGTCAAATCCTGTTAATTATAATTCAGTTGACAGAAGGCATTATAGTTTTTTCTACTTTCTAAGTGTAACTGTCCCTATTCATCCCCCCCCCCACTAAGAGTTTCACAATAAATCCCTGCAAAAAATAAATTAAAATCTGCAACTTCAGACACCAAGGAAGAGAACATTAATCCACTTAGTAAAATACTCAGAACTCCCCCTCTCCATTTGGGCCCTTCTTAATGTAACATTTAGTAATTGCAGCTGGCTCCTTATACTTCCCTCCCTTTTTATTCTGAATCATATTGGCCTTGTTTAACCTTCATTTCCTTTTCTACCCCCCACATCTGTCCACATACTTTTCTTTGACCATGTTTCTCTCTACTGCCTTGAGTGAAGGCAATAAATGAAGCTTTCTAAAAGCTTAATACTTTCTGATAAAATTCATCCTACCTCCCCATTCCACCATTAATGCTTTGTACAGTTTTACGTATACTTCAGTGATACAGTTACTGCTCTATATTTTCCTGATTGATTGTTAAGTTATGCTGGCTTTCAGAGATGCCTCTGTAATCCCAAAGTAAAGGCTTTTCACTTGGTGTGCTCCCTGCCTTTGGAATGCCTTTCCTGGCAAGGACAGGCATCTTGCTTTGACTGTGATTCTTAAGTTACAAATTCAAAGCTAATTTGTTTAGTTAGGTTTCTTCTATGAAAAGCTCTGTTTCTCACTGTTAAGTGCGCCATGATGCTGCTTAGTTGGAGGGTGTGTTGTAAGTACAAGATGTAATATACTTATATTGTACTTGATTATCAGTTTTCAAAAACAGCTGCATGCTTTGATATCTGAGTAAGGAAATATCAGAAGATAATATACCATTGGTATTTATTACTCTATAATTAAGGATGTGTCAGTGTTTTCCTTTAAATAACTCTATTTCCAGAAATTCATATCTCAAGCATAAATTTCCCTATGAATTACAGTCTAATACCATATCAGAAGTATCTTCTTTTAAAGCTATCCCTCCCCTTCCTTTTCTTCCCGGGGAAATAAGTTTCAGGATGTAATTTCTGGTTATGTATTAGGGATGAGAGGAAGCAGGCCCAGCACTGCACAGTGCAAGGTGCGGCTGCTGTCACCACCTGCTCCTTCTGCTCTTCAGCCTTTTGCACCAGGTGACAGCACTGGGCTGTCTTTTGCAGTCTTGCAGCTATGTGGATGAGCAGCTTCATCATTACATGATTTTAAAGGTGACATGGAGTCATTTTTTCAGAAATATTAAAGGTGCCAGAGCTGGAAATTCCAGTACCAGAAATCACTTCTTTTCTATTGCTCTCTTTATGGTCATCTAGAGCATAAATAGGGCCAAGAGAAACATGAAATAAATTTATGATAAGGAATTAGCAACTTATTAATCCATGCTGCTTCTGATAGTGAATGGTAGAAGGAGCAAAGATGGGGAATTACAGAAACAAATGTTTTTCCCTCCTTCTTTAAGGGCTGCTCCTCACCAGTGAAACTATCACCTACAGAAAAGAGCTTCGAGAAGTTTGAGTTTCAGACCTGCCTCCACTGCCACAGGACCTAGCGGAAGTCAACTTCACCTCATGCCCTTACTCTCCATGTATCTGAAATGGAGGTCACAAAAACAAATGGTTACCAGGAAGGCCAGAGGAGTCAGCCAAGTATTTTAATCCAACATAGTGCAAGACCACAGGAGAGGTGGGCATGTCACAGGGGATGCAGCCTGGATGCTTCCCTACAAGTGGAGCAACAGTTATGCTGAAAACACTTAAAATACTGGCCATACTGTATAATCTTTCATGTCCCTTTCAATACTAACAGTGTAGGCTGCAGTGTCTGCTGCCTTTTGTCATCTTTTGCCTGGTGGGAAGAGAAAAACGAGAGAACTAGGAGTCCAGGGGAATCAGGTACACAGAACTTACGCTTCCTGAAAGGTCCTGAGGTGACAACTACAACATCCGATGCAGGAAAGGCTTTGTTTTTCTAGCATGCTCTGGCTTCTAAATATGTCACGATACAGTGCCTCGATTCTCTTATTGGTGAATATACATTTGCATATGCAAAGAACTTTACATTTCCAGAGAAAAGATACACTAGTATATATTCCTACTAGGAGTCACATGTTCCAGTGTAGACTTTAGTCTACTATTCAAACTAAGAGTTGAAAATCATAATCACAGAGCTGTGGAAACAATAAGGAATCACCTAGGTAATGATAGATAATTTGAGGAGCCCTGAAGAAACTGATCCCAAATTCCAATTTAGGAAAATGGGCAATGTAAGTGAGGATGCTGGCCCCTGAAGCTGTATGTGCCTCATGTTTGATAAGAGCATCTTAAAGACCCTAGTGAAGGATCCCCTTCCAAGAGAGTGGCAAGACAGGACACAGTTTACCCGAGTCTTGAGGAAAGGGGACAGTAATGATCGAAATGGGCAGGATGGTAGGAGCTGAGAGCTCGTGTGCTCTACCACGCAGCTCTGAATTTTTCGAGATTAAAAACTGGGTTCGTTTAACATTTGCATTTATTCTGCTCTCACTACCCTTTAAAAGAAATCTGTAGAGCTCTAGTGTTACGTCTTGCATTTGTAATGCCACAGGCATTGGAACCCCTCAAAAAGGAGCCTATAGACAGTCAAGTCTGACACTCTCCAAAGTATGTCATCCAGTTTGAGGTGAAGTCCTTGGATTCCGTCATGTGGGGAAGTATTGTCAGTTAGAATGGCTCTGTCACTGTCAGAAGCAAATGGCTTTCTGACTTGATTGGTAGTTCAGGAAGCCAACAAATGCAGAGGATGACCAGGTAACAAAATTACCCTTATGCTTCCCAAAGTATTTGTAACTCCTCTTGAAAAGGTCTATGCAATAGTAACAGCTAACACACACACGCACACACACACACACACACACACACACACAAATCCATAAAATATCAGTAAGTCTCTATGTACAATGACTTAGTGTAAGAAATAAAATGCCTATTGTAAGTGAATGTCTCTCCCCTACTGATAACCTGGTTTTTCCACCATCACTCATCTGAAATACTCATTCTTTAAAATTCCACGTTAATTCCTATCTTTGGTTAATAATCTTTATTATTTTTATTTATTTATTTAGAGACGGGGCTTGTTTTGTAGTGCAGGCTGGCCTTTAGCTCACTATGTAATCGAGACGAGCCTCAAACTTGTGACAATTCTCTTGCCTCAGCCTACCAAGTGCTGGCATTACAGGTGTGTACCATCAAGCCTGTCTAAGTTTATAATACTTTAATAGCCTATATACATACCTTTGAGGAGCAGGTAGAATTGCTTGCATGTTTTAAAACTTTCCAGGTTATCTTTTAATGAGTAATTTTTGAAGAGAGGGTTTATTATAGAAACATTGGTTGTCCCATATCTCAATCTAGACTTTAAACTGCAACAGGTTTATGACAGTAACTTATACTATCTTTTTTGTTAAATGTAAGATCTGATAACAAATATTGCCTGTTTTTTCATCAAAACAGAAAAGCAGTTAGGTAATGCTTTTCAAAAGTCTGCTGAGTAAGAATCACAGAATTATGCTCACATTAAAGGACTGTATGGCTGGCTTGGTGGCACATGCTTGTAATTCCAGCACCCAAGAGGCTGAGGCAGGAGGATAGAAAGTTTGAGGCCTTCATTGATTATATAATGAATTATAGGCCAGTTTGGACTGTATAGCTGGGTCCTGTCTCAAAATGAAGAAAAACCCCAAAACAAACACAAACACAAATACATACAAACAAACAAACAGGATAACATGAACCATAATTTAAAGACTGATTCTATTACCCATGGAAACTATCTGAGACTTACATGAAATTTTTTTTTGTATTTCATAATATTTCTGGGTAGCAGATGCTTTCTCAAAAACAGATTTTACTTTTAAAAATACCAAACATAATTAACACCTTCAATATAAAATGAAATTTTTGCTTCCAGATGCATTTCAAGGTATTGAAATTAATCTCTGCAGCCCCTGATGGCTAAGGGTTCCCAATGATGATGTATTCTATTACCATATTTATGTGGCATAATTGAAAAACTGAGAGTAAGAGCAGACATTTAAATTTAACTGCATTTGAAGGATGTGTATTAAACCAGGAACATCTTGAAAAGGATCTTAATGCTTTCCTAATCAATGAAGCAAAAGGTTAAGAACATAGCAAAAATAAATAGGTTTAGTGCAAACATTCTAGACACTGCATGAAAGTCTTCATAACAGTCAGAATTCTATAGCTACAGTGGGACCTTGGTTCACGAACTTAATTCTTTCCATGATACTGGTTGCAAACCGAATTGGATGAGAACCGAGTCAAATTTCCCCATATGTCAACATTGAACCTAACCACTGAATTTGATTTGGTTCTTGTCCAATTTGGTTTGCTGCCAGAATTGTGGAAAGAATTAACTTCAAGAATCGAGGTACCACTCTATCCAAAATTAAATTTGTTTAATGATTTTTTTTTTCTTTTACACTATACAAAAAGAAAGAAAGAAAGAAAGAAAGAAAGAAAAAAGACAAGACAAGAAAAGAAAAAGACTTAGCTCACAGTTTCAGAGGATGAAAGTGCATGAGCAGGCAGTTTCCTGTGTTTGGCTTCTGGTGAGGTTCTTCTCGGCTGGGTCACAATATGGCCGAGAAACAGGAAGTGAAACTGGCAGCATGAAAGAGAGCCTTACTTTATGACAATCTGCTCTAGTGATCTCTTTGAAAGATCAGCATTAATCTTTCCCAAGGTGATGACTTAAAAACTAAGCCCCTACTCTTAAAGTTTCTACCACCTTTTATATCAACATACTGTGGACCAAGCCCTCAGCATAGGAACCACTGAGAACTGACTCAAACTGTGTAAAAACATAGCATAACTGAAAGATGCCTTAAGGTGAAAGTACTATTTTCAAAAACACATCACCATGACACCTTTCTGTCTTTGTGTTGTACTTTCAACACTGCCTCTTCTTTATTCTATTTAATGATTTTTTGAAAGAACAAGAGCTGTGTTTAAAAAACAAAAAATTTCAAAAAATACTAAAAACAAAAAATAATGTTGGTGTTTGATTTCTCCTGACTATATTTCCAGTTATCCACTCACTTCAGCAAAAGATTGGGTAACTTATTAACATCTCTTTCCACCATGTCATGGGTATTGAGAGATCTATGGATACATATGCACAAGAGATATGGTTGTATCTTTTTAAATGTTTAGAATTAATGCTTTGTTTTTTATTGCTTGGATCCACTAATCCCAAATCTGTCACTTCAATAAATTTCAAGAAAGTTTTTACCTGGATGCAGTGATGGACACAGCTGAAAACAAAAATCTATTTGAATATGGGTATAAGAAAAAACTCATACAAAGGAAACTTTCAATATTTGCCAAAATCAGAAAAAATTAAATGTTTTGGATGTAGCCTCTGAAAGACATTTAATGGACTTCTGTTCATCAGTTAGGGAGAAAACATATGGGTAGTTGTTGCACATATAAGATCTTATCCACCATAAATATGAGCCCACTATTTTCAGGGTAGAAAAATAGTAAAAATTGAATACCATTTTTTGGCTGTGATATTTACATAATTTTGAGAAGTGTCTTTTATGATACAGCACATTTCTGACTGGTTTATTGTATTAGAGGATATAAAGTACAACCTTGCCCAAAAGAAGTTGTCTATGAACATTTTATCCATACTCATATCTTAGTTCTGCTCTCAAATGGTACACCCCTGGCAGATCCCAAGCTCCATAGATTTGGACAGGAAGTGATTTTGAGATAGTTCCCAAGCCCTTTGTTGTATGAGTGAGAAGAGATAATTTTTTCATTGATTTCTCAATAAGCAAAGATTAGAAAGCCCATTGTATACTATGGATCTCCTATTGGATGGGGGAAAAAGTAACGGAATTGTTTCTGCTTTTTCATCCCTTTGCTTTAAAATTCCCAGATCTCATGAATTTTGAAGCCTGCTTGCTTTAATCTGCAAGACCTCTATCCCATCAGCTCCCTCATCTTTGTCTAGTTTCTGCTTTTGATTGTGTTGGATCTCAAATGGGTCCCATTGGACTGAAGCATCACTGCCCATTCCATCTTCAACACTTGCTAGACCACTTAGTCCTCTAAAAGCCTGGGAGCCAGACTTGGCATTATCTATCCACCTCTCTCTGGCTGATACTCGCTCTGTAGTGTAGAGAACTTACTCATTTGAAGAGCTAGGAAAGTTACAATTTACCTGTCAGTAAACAGAAGATGGTTTATCAACAGACTTTACCTTAATGACTACAAATGTTTACCTTCTGCCTTCCAGAATGCAAAGAAATTCTTGGAAATGTCATAATATCTTACAAACATTTGCAAAACAGATCCTTGTTCATCTAGAAAAAAAAAAACAATTGTATTCGTTGTCTCTGACACATGGAAAACATTCAGTGAGAAACATACAGAGATATGTACACGTAAATGAATATGCTAATTAAAACTTGCAGTGGGCACTTTATTAAAAATTTATTTTACAATCTAGCTGTTCAAAACATCTTTATATCAACAAATACAGCAGTTTGACTATTGGAATTGTAAGTGATTTATCTTGAAAAGGTTACACTTGTCGCAGGATGCAAATATCTTTGAAGAATATTTGTATCAAAATTACTAGCTTTATTAGAAGTATTTTGATCTCTCTATTTTTATCTCCAGGAAAAAATGAAAAAAAAAAGTATCTCAGTGTTCATTTTTTGATAGGCAATAGGGCTGAACGACTGTATTTGCTATGTTTGTCCGAATTACAGCTGTTTATCTTGCAAGTTTCTTTAAGATTAATTAAATGCAAATGTAACTCTGTGAATCATGGGACTACCTGCCAGACCTCTTATTAATACCTCACTTAAAAACTCCTGTGCCAGAGAGTCATTAATTTGCTCAAAGAAAAGTGCTAAAGCAGCCCTTTGCCCACAAACAATTCTGAGATGGCTGCCCAATTAGTCTGGTAGTGTTCTGATCCTCCTTTCAGGCCCTGTGGCCCTTTGAGGACACAAGAAGGCTCCGATGATAACCTGGCAACCTAGGTAGAAACCCAGCCAAGTGTGAGCGTTTGAAGCTGCAGTTTGGCTGCCATCGTGTCGGCAAAAAGAAAGAATTCAGGCACCATGTCATCCAGTACAAAGGATAAAAACGGATTCAACCGGAAATTCAATGTGGCACCACATATGGGATACATGAGTGCAGTTATACAACAGGCCACATTTTTTTTTTTTTTTTTTGAACAGTCTCCTACATGTGATGCCGAGGACATGTGTAACCATCATAACGTCTCTAGGAATCTGTATTTAATTTGAGTTGGGGTGGTGGCAGGGATTGGAGATCTGAAGCCGCCACAGGTTTGTGGCAGATGGCTCTGTGTCAGCTATGACAAGCAGCCAGGCTCAGCTTCCTCTGCAGATTTTCTTTTCTCTCTGATCAGGTAAATATGGGCACACTCTGGAAAGTTCTTCAGATTCTGCCTTAGGCTGCAAGTTTGTGACTTAGCCCATCTGTCACAAATCTTCCCTAGGTTCTGTTGTAAGCAGAGACCTGAATTTACTACGTAGTGCTGCCCAAGAAAACGGAGCCATTTCACCCTGTAATAAGGGGAGGGAGAAAAGAGAAGGCAATGAAGAAGCATGATCAACTGAAACACCAAAGCAGGCTGAAAATTCACATTGCAAATGCACTGGCATGAGGATGTCAATTTACTTCAAAAGCCACCCAGTAAACGGTCTTGAGTCCCATGACCTCAGGAAATCACACAATTGGATGGGTTTAAAGTATCTTTGTACTTCCAACTATAGGAGAAAGCTACTGTGTTCTGCAAATGGGTACATACTACCGCACATGTATTTCCTGGTTTATGTTAGTGGATGACAGCTATTAGAAATTTATCATCCAACTTCTAACTTTTATAAACATAAGAAGTGCAATACTCAATACAGTTTTTGGTAATGTGAATTTTACTTTTAAGTGATGAAGACACAGACAAACGCCCTTACTGTTTCATGGAATTTATAAAGGGCTCTACATTTACAAATGTGTTTATATATTCATTATTTTATTTTAGCAGTACCTCAGGGGTCGACACTATTATGATTTTAAAATGTCTTCCTGATTTGCAGATGTAGTGGTCAAGAAAGCTGCAAATGAGGAACAAAGAAAGACAAAAGCTCTAACTGATCTTACTAGGCCGAAGCATCCCTATATTGCTAAATGTCTTGTTTTGCTTTTATTTTATTTAGTTCAAAGGAAAACTAAATCAAATAAAATTGAAGGAAGAAGTGAGAAAGGAAAGGAGAAAAACAAGGAAAAGTGGAAAGGGGGAGAAGGGTGGTAGGAGAGAAGTTCAGTGAGTCTCAGACCAAGGTTTGCCTTAAATTATGCTAGTACAATTGAGAGAATTTTACAAGTTCTTAAAATGTCACAAACAGTTAGGTTTTCATTTTTAAGGAAAAAGTAAGGACTTTAAAGGCATGTTAATACCAGTGAGGAACACCTTGTTCATGTCTAAAGTATAATCTCAAATTAAAAGGGGACTCTAAAGTGACCACTCTCTTGAAGGAAACTTAAAGTGGTTTGGCTGTAGTTCAGATAGATGTAGCCTGACATAATTAAGACAACCACAAATGGCTTTTCTGGGCATAGAGTTTGAATAGTAAGCTTAATCATTGTTTGGAATTAGTTTTAGGCAGAAATCTGAAAATTTTTCTGTTCTCCAAATAACAGCAGATTATAAAGAGCTCTCGGATGCTGGACTTGATGAGGAAAACAAACTAAAAATCAATGACTATCATCTGAGAAATCTTAAAAAAACGACAAGTCACTCAGAAAACCAAAAAGAATAGTCTCTATCTCTGTCTGTCAGCATTGCTCAACTTGTAAATATAACAGAAAATGAGCAATAGCATAGAGCTGAAACTCTCTTTGCTCGTCCTGGTGATATCTAGTTTACACAAATGCTCTACACCTGCTCTATATTCCATGCTGGTAACAAGCAACTATCATCTATTTCGAAAGCATTTTAAAACACAATGATTAAATTATGAAGTACCAATCTCAAACAACTGTTGGAAGTTTCCAGTAAGTAAAATCATATAGTAAAAGTGATGCCAAAAAATTTCTACTTTATGGTATAGAATTGGTTGAGTAGGAAGAAGAACTATTGTAAGTGTAAGAAGTTAATCTGCGGTTGATTATTTTATGATTTCTTCTAAAAACTTGTGTGTGGGTCAGGCTTAGTGAGCTAAGAGAGTTCCCTATTAAGGATGAAGTGAAACCTAGTTTTTCTATGCAAGTTCATATTCCATGCATCTGCTTGATGTCCTGGAAGACAGGTTCTAACCCTACAAGGAAGTCAGAGTCAAGGACCAAAGCGTGCATGCAAACTTTCATAGTAGTCTTAGAGTATTAAATTAACAAAATGGTTTTCTATTTTTAAAGATTATTAAGAAATATTTAATTTTTCCATGAATTTAATTTCTCTAAGAATTCTAAGAAAAAATGTTTGTGTGTCAGACAAAGAAAGACAGAGGCAGTGGCAGAAACAGAGGCAGAGTGAGACAGAGAGAGATAGAGAGACAATGAGACAGAGGCAAAGACAGACAGAAAAAGAAAATGAGTGCACACTTGCAATAAGACGAGGAATTTAAACATCTCAGGCCTGAAATAATTTCAGGTAAGAAGTCCAGGACAGAGTTTGAAGTAGAGTCACTTTAAGAAAAAAAGTAAATTCTGTATCTGCTTTTTGGTTGCTAGCATTCTGTTTCAAATCTTGCTTCAAGTTATAGCCCCAAAACTCTCACTCATATTGAAAGTATAATGTCTCATGTGAGAAGTAAGCCAAGTGTTAGTAGCCTTATTCTAGTCATTAAATTTCTAAGTGTGAAACCATATGAAAAAATTCTATCCTAAAGTGAACTCTATATGATAAGAAGTTGAAATGATTTTAAAATGTAAACTTTTAACAACAAAAAAAGAGTAAGGTGTAAAAATGTAAAAGGAACAAATTAAAGAATTCAGTGACATTCTATCCTTTTAGATCTTAGCAACATATGTTTTAAAAAGCAAAACAGCACTGTCCAATGAATAAATCTTTAAAAAAAAAAAAAAACTAAATCTCTTCACAGAACACACAAAAGATCCTCTTCCACTGCATAAGAAATGTAGGTAAAAGGCTGCCTGACAGAAAAGAATTCTCAAATATACAGAGAAAGCAAATCGTACCTGAATAGTGTATGTTTAGCCAATATATAAGTTAAAAATTATTATAATTTACTACAGCTTCTAAAAGCATTTTTTACTTGTTTTGGAACTACATCCTGTTTTAACAAATGGACTAAATCTGTGATCTTTCCTATGATTTTTAAACTTTTTAATGCCTTTAACATATCAGTTTTTCCTAAAAGTTGCATCATAAAGGTTTGATTACTTATAATTTTAGATTTCTTTCTTTAATTTTTTAGATCAATTTGCATAGTACATTATTAAGATCTATGAATCAGGACATATATGAAAATGTCTTACAGATGTATAACAAAAATTTCATGGTAAGAGTACTTAAAACTGAATTATACATATACATTCTTATAAATGTTTACAGTGAATTACTAATTTAAAAAACTTTATGATGGAGGGCTTGTGATGTGAAAACTAAAAATACCTCTAAGTATTAAGACATAATGACTCACTGAAGTAACACTTAAGGTATGGGTTATTTTTTAAACTTCATAAGGAATGATTTTATATATTAACAGCATACTGGTAAGAGAACATTCTTTTAGAATTTTTCCAGAAATTGTTTGTAAAATAAATAATTATAGCTATGTTATGACAGTAACTGTTTTAAGGTATTTCAACTGGAGATCTGCTTTCTTTTCTAACTAGAGACAACTTGTTGCAGTGACTTTTGAAACAGTTAAAATTTGCAGATGTGGAGTAACAGAGTTAATAAGACCTAACCTGCAACAAACTTAAAAACTGGTAAATTTTATGGTAGAAGTATATTTGTGAATACTTTAGCAAAAATTTATCTGAAGGAAAAAATCATTAATTTACCCATGAACTCACTGAAAATAGGTTTGTACTCTATATGTAAAATGAATCATTTTGTACTAATACTGAATTATTTCTTCAGTATTCATACTCTGCATTTTTGAACAGTCTAGCATACAGGAAACTATCCAATTAATATCTTATACAAGCAAAATTGCTACTGAACTTTAAAAATTAGGAAATACTGGGGAAAAGCTTGGAGACCTGTCTTCTCCATGAGGCTCTCTGTATACACACGATACAATAGTATTGACTCAAGGACTGATGCCGAAGCCTGGAACGGTGCAGTCAGCATTTTAAACTATTACGAGCTACCTTCTGAACCATTGCCAAGTTAATAGACAATGAAAGATAATGAGTTTGAAATTGGGTGTTAAATTGCATTTTTGGTTCTCTCTTTTTTTCTTGAAGTTTAACTGTTTCCTGGAGAAACAAGTCATGTTTTGATATATCACTATGTAAATATGTATTTTAGGTCATAAAAAAAGAAATGTGAGAAAAAAGGGCAGAGAACATTATTTTATGTAGAAAATTATATATTAACACAGGAAAATTAAGATATATTGGATTATAAAACTGCTACATTGCAAACTATCCTGAATTTATGTAAAACAAAAATACTATATTCAAAGAATATAAAAAGGTATATTACTCATGGTCAAAAGCCATCTTTGAAACTCATAAAGCAGATTCATTCTACTTCAGTTACTTTGACTTTTAGTGGGGCCTCTTTGTGTTGTGATTTCAACAATCTAAAATTCTGGACTCAAGAGAAAAAAGATAATAACTGAGGGACTGAATGATGATGCTGTTTATATATACTGTTTGCCTTTTGCCCTTGCCAGTCAGAGATCAAACTGACTATGTTAATTCTAAAAACTGAGGATTTTTTTGTCATGCTCTCAAACTGGACAAGGGAAATATTTAACTTTGGAAAGTGATCTTTCAAGCAGTTAAAAAATGAACACCAAACTTCACTGATGTCATTCACCTGAATTTTTAAGGACTGAACATTTCATTATGATGGGAGAAAGGCTTATCCTCATTAGGATAATTGTAGAATCTTTCTTTCCTTTTAAACTAATGAGTTACATTAATCCAAGTTCATTTTTATAAGCCTCTTGGGGCTAAATGTAAAGGACAGTCATCTTAGAAAACAATAAATTTTAAAAAAGCATGTATCGTGCATTAAGTGTACGTATTTCATACGACCTAGGTTAATACAACTGGCATCCAGTTTAATTAATCCTTGTTAGTGTAACAACTAATATCCCTCCCTAGCATGTTTCCTTTAAACATTAGTATGTTAATTAAATGTTTTTTTTAAAGGATTTTTCTTTGTACTTTAATACAGCATTTATACCACGTAAATCTTTTCTCAATAACTACCTTATAGAGATGTTTTCTTATAATATCTGGTCTCTTGCAGAAATTCTGGAGCTTTTTTGAAAGCTGTTCAGGTGTAGAATACAGATATTCAGCTGCAGGAAAAACAGATACATTTTTAATGAAACAAAAACCTCAAAGCACACACTCGATATTAGTCACTTTACTAATTAAAAATGCATATTGCTCTGTGCCGCCTTGTGTTTTACATTATTTAAGCATGATTTTATAAGGTTACCTCAGCTCACAAGGATGTTTAATGCTAAATAAGACTATGTAGTTGTTCTGTTTAGACATCTCCTTTGGGTGATTAAAATACATTATTCTAATGTAACACAATGCATATGTGATATATTTAGTGATGAGAATTTTTTCAAAGAACTGGTACTATAGCCGTATGTAGCCTGTACAACAGTTGCATATTATTAACTACTCAATTGTTTAAATAATTTGGTGTGACTCTCAGTCCTTGATTTTTTCTGTGTGTATCATTTTTAAAAATTCTGTAAGCAATTGTAGCAACACTGATCTGCTTATAAAAATCCATCATAATAGGATATGTATGCTAACAATGAAGAATGCTATTTGAAAACTTGTTTTTTTGTTATCTTAAAAGAACAGATGGTAAATATAAGCTTACTCTAATGTATTAAAACACATAAAATTTTCTTTAACACTAACATGTTGACTTGCCAAATAAACAATTGCTCCTGCCTAAGTTTATTTTCAAACTTTCTAATTTAGTATGAATCACGTATTAAATCACAACAAAGACAAAAGCACATTACAGCAGCTACCTGGAAATATTTCAGGATAAACCAAATCTTTGGGACAAAGTGGGTAACAACCACAGTACACAGCTTCCAACCTAGAGAAATATAAGAGAGAATAAGAATATATTAAAAAGACATTACTATCATAACCAGAAAGTGGTTTTGATTGTCTAAGATAACACTATGAGCCCAGAGTTAAATGGGTCAGAAAACATGGTTGGCAATACAATCCTAAAAGCCAAAATTGCTCTTTTGAAAAGATTTTATTGATCATATATGAATTTCATAGAACAGAACCAACAGCATATGTTTTATTCAGTGAATTAATCAAAGCGCAGCGCTGCATTTTTTTTTGTTTTTAAAATACTGTTTAACACATTTTATAATCAGCAGATAAACACATGTAACAACATGGTAAAGTATGGACAGCTTTTCTTAATAATGCTGCAAAGCCTCAGAATGTTCATTTTTCAAAAAATGTTTAAATAAAATGGCAAAATACTTAACTTCAGCACTGAAGCCGTAGAAGTGATCGAGACACTTTTAAAAGGAGCAGAAAAAAAATTTACAATCTGTTGTGATGGGGCATTTTCATTTTAAGCTCATGCTTTGAAACAATTTGTTATTATGCAGAATGTAACTCTTTTCTTGAAAAAATTCTCAGAAAGACTGCTTTAATGTACATTTTTTTCTTACTAAAAGCTGAGTCCCCATTCCATTAGATCAGAAATGAATACTTTTGTTATTAAAGAAACAGAGAAGTTTCACTTTGTGAGAAGCTTTCCCCATGGAAACACAGGGGAAGTTTTCTGTATATCCCAGTGAAAAGGGTTAAGGCAGACGGAAGGTGCTGTCGGCTTTCCAATGGCTGAGTTAGGGCTGCATAACAGCTATTGATCTGACATATAATAAACTTTAAAGATACCACTGTCATTTCTGTTGGCTAGAAATTATGCAGTGAAATTCAAAACACTCTTTAAAATATGTTTATTTTATGAGAAACTTTGAATTGCATCCAAAATGTTGACCAAAGGCTGAATTTATTTTGAACTGCAGATTTTTTTTCAGCCCAAGAATAATTTGAAGTCATGTCAATGTTTACCTTGTTTATTTACAGTGACAAAGTACATGCAATTTAAGCTGTTTTTAAGTGGGTGATGTTTTCCCTGTTTTATTATGCTAAACTGAAATTAAAGGAAAAATATTTCCTTTGAGCTGCACATTCTGGAAAAATACTGAGTTCAAAGTTTTCCTTGAGAGCTGATAGAAGTTATAAGGTAATACAGTCAAAAGGCATGGATTCTACTTACCCACTATTAGCTTCAGAATAGAAGATACAGCTAATATTTTTTCTCTAAATACATGGGACAACATTACCACTCTTATTGTAAGCATATCTATGAACTACATTCTACTGTAATATAAAATATTAATAAAAGTTTTGAGCAAATAACTCTGTGATATGTTTCATGAACCAAAAGAAAATATGCACTTTATCCGAGGACCTTCAGCTTTAAAATGCTGTGCCAACTGAAAAGCAAATACATATGAACATTCACTTATAATTATATAAAATCAAAAGAGTGAAGTCACAGGCATTTCAGAAAGTGCACATGTTATCTGCTTTTTAATAACGGATTTGAAATAGAGTGTTCTGTTCCCCGAAAGAATATCACAGGCCAAGTTACATTTTGAGTCATTGTATGAGTATGTACCATGCCATTTCCAAAAAAGAAAAATCCACCAAACCCCAAAAAATCCCTCTGTAGTAAAATACTGTGCAGTAAGATAAGAATAGCATTATTATTTGATTTAGGAAGAAAAGAATTATAAATTTTGGATATCAATTTTTAAATTGTCAAATTCATAGTTCTTTTTCTAATTCATCCAGAAACAACCATCGTATCTTCTGGGTATAAAATACAAAATTTTATTACATTTATTATTTAGCAGGATTATTTTTGAAAATACATGAAATAAACTATGTTATTTTCAAACAAATTTAAACATTCACTAGCATAAGTTTCTTGTATTTTGTTATTTTGAAGAAAGTTCATCTCATGACAATAATGCAATTATTCATCATTTCAATTCTTATGCACTACCAGTTAAATAATAAATAGAGTTCCAATTGATCTATTGTTAAAATGACTAGTAAATGACCTTTTTATTCCAATTAACAAATCATCTGCTAAATCTATGAATCTTAATATTCAGATCTATTCACTTCAATTCATACAATTTATCTGCAAATAGTTGTTGGGCTTTTGATTCTAAATATAATTAGCTGATAATTTTGCTTGGCTGAATTACTTTTCTGGAGGGCCTGCAAAGGCTCTCAGTCACATTATCTAGCAATAATGAATCTGATAGGTGAAATTTTTTACTGTAATGAGGATGAGACACAGTTGTGACACCTGAGTCTACTAATAACAGAAGACTGCTAATTATCGAAAGCACTTTTTTGTGTGATGCAAGGAGAAAAAAATCCCTCATTATTAAAAAATAAAAAGTTACAATTATAAGTGACACCGGAGGAGAGTAAATAAAATGGAGTGATTAAAACATTGCTGCTTTAAGGGTGTTTTTAATTAAGTGGAAATGCTAATGTTGTCATACTTAGCAGATGGGATTAAAATTAGTTATTGTAAGTAACTCATATTTTATGTTATGGTTTCCACAGCATGTCTACAAGATCTAAGAAAGTGATACATTCCATAAGACATTTTAAAAATGAAATTCTCATACTCTTTACAACTCATAATAATGAACATCATGAATAAACTATTGAA